GACGGCGTGCAAACTAACCAGTGACGTATGGTGAAGCTCATGACAGATGAGGCACTGACTCCTCTGAAGTTGTTCTAAAAACATACTATCCAAAATTGAAGATTAGCCTGTGTTTCAATTTAGACCATTTAAAACCTTTGTTTTCGAAGTTTTTAACTGTGCTTCAATCAATTCCACACGGTTCAACAATGTCACAGCAAGAAAAACGGAAAATAATTTTTAATTTCAGGCCAAGTTAATTGTAGTAGTAGTAGTAGTACGTTTTTTTTTTGTGCTTACCATTATATTTAACATGACAGGGAGCCTCTGCCTCTCCTGGCCTGAACGCATGTCCCTGAAATACAAAAAAAGTGCTGGTGGTAACTGAGTGTGCCTTTTTGTATTGACGTCGTATTCCAGCTGATAAATTTACAACAAATGAACAGCACATAGGTAACTGATTGCCATGTGATGTCATATTCTTACTCCACTGTGCAAAGTTGCCAACTACTTCATTGTATGCAATTCATAACCTCAAAAATGTCACACACTGTCAATATTTGTATGAAAGCACTTCAAGGCCATGAATGTTAAACAAACAAATGTTTTAAAAAAATCCCATGCTGCGATTTGGAATCTGTGCATTCACATATTCATGGAGTTTTTAATAATAGTTTTGGAAAATCTTTTAAATTGTTTATCTTCTTTTTCTTTCTGGAGGAGCTAAACCCTTTATTTATTTATTTTTTGTGGAAACGCTTATTAGTGGTTTAACCTATCCTATCGTCAGCTAATAGTGGGGGGTCCACTGTGTTGCCCTTTGTGGACCTGTGCTCCATTATTATGTGGAATAAAATAAAAATACTGGATGGGAAGAACTAACATTTTGCCTTCCCATTTACCAGTTGGTTCCCTGAGGCTTCATCGGATGGTCAGCTGCTTTCCATCCGGGCTTCAAGTGAGGTAAGCATGAAAAGACATTTAGTGTTGATAACATCGCTAGGCAAACACAAGCACGCGCGCGCGCGCGCGCGCACACACACACGACACTGGACAGGTATGAGAGCGCTGAAGGCCGAGTCTTCCCAGAGCCATTTAGACTGACAGCTGTACTGACAGCACAGACAAAAACAATATCAGAGCGAGTGTAGGGAAACAAAAACCTTCAGGCCTTCTGCTGGAAAGCAAAAACATGTCAGGAAAATCCTCCTTGAACAGCTGAATTTTATTTGTGGTTAATCAGAGACACTTTGTTTTGTGACAGCCACATCCCCATTTGTAAGAGTGTGCTTACCTTCCTGCAACCACATTGTCTCAGTTGTTTACTTTTAATTCCCCTTTTCGAAAAGATTAGTTTTCTATTGTGATATAAAGGTTATAGGTCACAGTAACGGTCTAAAAAGTTTTGATTTTCTCTCAAAAAAATTTGACATTTCAACAGGTTGTGTTGACATTTTAGATCCTCTCCCTTCCTCTCTCCACACACACGCACACACGCGCGCGCGGACACACACACACACACACACACACGCAAACTTGCACGAAAAATACAAAATTATATGCCAGAATAGCTGTTGGCTGATAATATTTTGAAATCATTGGGTACTGATGTTGTTTGTGCAGTAAACACATTCCCCCAAAATGTTACTATTGGGTTGATAACTGAGTTGCCTTCATCATTGTAGCTTTACAACAGTAACTCAACTTTTCCTCATTGTCGTTGTGGTGTTGTGTGTGCCCTTGAGTATGTGTGTATGCTGGAGGTCAGCCGGTAAGGCGTGTCAAAGCGTGGGAAAGCGATAAGATCTGAGCAGTGTGGCTGAGGATAGCAGCTTTGCCCTCAGCCAAAATCCACAACGTCTTCCCTCCACACCTGCCCGCTCTTCCTCCTGCTGTCCCTCCATGTCTCTCACTCTTTTTGCCACGCTAACAGGCCTGAATGATGATGATGTCGGTTTCAAAATTGACGAACGGCTTTGGTTTGACTGTCCACATGGATGACGTGTATATATATATATGGACGAAAACCGAGGTTTGACTATATATATATATATATATATATATATATACATCTCCATCCATCCATTCATTCCTTTTCTGATCCGCTTATCCTCGCAAGAGGCCGGATACACTCTGGTGTGACATGCTTACGCCAAAAGCGTCACGCATGCTGGCTTCAAGCTTCGCCCTCGCCGCCCGTTAATGCGCTGCAGCAAAGTGTGCCATTCATATTTGCCTAATGTGGAGCCTCATTCAAAGGCGGTGCCATGCAGGTTTGGCCATAAGAGGCTTTTTGCAGCTCATTGCTTCCCTCTCGACACAAACATTGGCTTAGTGGGTTTGTAACATGGCACATTGACACATTTTAAAGCGTCACATGGCCGTCATACGCCTGTCGTTCCCAACCATGCGATGACTTTGTAAGGTGTCACGCAGGCACCCCGTGTGCCCCTTTTCCCCAATTCTGACCTTGTTGAGGTGTCTGTGGGCGGTGCGTGCATTGATCCTGTCAACATTAGCGCTAATATGATCCTAGCGTGTTGTCGGGGCCTGAGGGGAAGCACTGATTGTCTGAACATTAACATCCACATTAACTTGTCTCATCACGCTCGTGTCTTACCAACCTTGCCCTCCTCAAACAACATTTTCCCCCTCCCCTCTTCTTCTATCTGCATCCCTATCTCTAGGCAACTGGTGATGGCGCCACTGATGGGGATGAGTCATTTTTTATTTTTTATTTTTTGGGTGTAAACCCATTCTGGGCACCGACACTCCTCATTGACACTTACTGGAGCTGCTTGCCTTTTGCCAGGCCTTATGTCAGGCCCTATGATGATCACTGTCTGACAGAGAGGATACAACCTGCTTGGTGCTGTCAGGCCCGCTAACATCAGCCTTCTGACCAGCATGCTGCCTCTCGCAGCTCTGGCAGCACACACTCTGCCTCCCTGCAGGGCGCAGTTGAGGGCGTTGTCAATGAGCGAGGGAAGGAAAGCGCATGATACTCTTGACATCTTAGGTGGCTCTCGAATTTGTAAACAAGCGCGTCCGCCTCGCTCACCTCAAACCTGGAGGCGTTTCCTATTTTCAAAGGAGAGCACTTTTCTCCAGTAGCCTGGAGAAGGGAGATTTTTTTAAAATTTTATTTGAAATGGTTTGATTCAGGAGGATATATTTGTCAAATAAAAGCTTGTATTGTCATATACAGAGGTGGGAGAAAGTTGCACACACTCGAAAAAATGATCGGATTTAATTTGATTTTGTCAAGTGGCTGCACAGAATAGCATCATCTGGATTTCGATGCATTTTTTAAAAGTTGATCTACAGTCTACCGGTAATTTACCTGGGGCCAAATGATTTTATTTCATGGAACCATTCGATGAAATAACATTGAGTAAATTCAACACATCATTTTTTTCAGTGTACAGTATGTGCATGTAACATGTTAATCTTCATCATGAAGTTTCAAGCAAATCCCAAGTCAGGCCTGTCACATACTGAGCGACATGGCCGAAGGCGACTGAACCGTCATATCGTCATAATGGTGAAAAAAAAAAAGTTAGCGATTCACACCTCCACACCTGGTGAATGACCCTCACACACAATAACAAACTTGCTGCAATGCAAACAACATTTTGAAGTCCCACATATATTCCTTAATTTTTTTATTTTTTCATTGAACAACAAACATCCTGCTGCAATTGTCAAGAAAGAAGCAGATTCCGTGAAATAAAGGAGAGTGTGTGGATATTTAAGTGTCTTGCCAATGACCACCCCATTCATTGACAGCACTTGTTTGTTTAGGCATCAGAGGTTCTCCATACTTTGAATTTTAGACACAGGTGCACATGAAATGAGAAATAGACTATAGAATTGCAATGAGGGAGAGAGAGAGAGAGAGAGAGAGAGAGAGAGAGAGAGAGAGAGAGAGAGAGAGAGATGTCACTCTCAGGTTAACTGGTCATGCAGTCATCTCTGCTTTCTTGGTCAAGTGTTGGCGCGCTGCGTTTGGCAGTTGAATGGTGCTGAAAACGCACACACTTGTCCAGCTGATCCTGCCAAACCGTCTCATACTCAGTCTGAACATTTTGTTTGTCTTGAAACAAAATGGGCACGCTGGCTAATGGGTCACTGAGACTCTGCATGCACTATTTTAATTCAGGCAACAAAATGAAACGGTAGTGGCTTTATTTGATTTGCTTAATTTAGCGCATGTAACAGGGTTGATCAAACCCGATACAAATTGCAGTGGCTGACTTTACATTTTTAAATAATCGTGTATGAAGGGCAGGTGTAAACTGGCATCGGTGGGTGTCACAATGACTGCATTACTGTGGCGCAGAGAAAACAAAATGAGAATCATCTTGGAAAATGTGTTTTTTTTCCACTCATGAAAATATTGAAATGCCAGAAACAAAAAGTATTGCAACATATGATGTTCAGTGCTTCTTGTGAAATGAATGTGGCAGCTGAAGAAATAAACCCCCTTTGTGAGTCCTGACCATCCATCCATCCATTTTCTGATCCGCTTATCCTCACACGGGTTGCTGGGGGTGGGGGGGGGGTTGCTGGAGCCTCGCCTAGTCTCCTCTCGGGACAATTGAGAGTGTTCCATTAACCTGCCATGCATGTTTTTGGAATGTGGGAGGAAACCGGAGTACCCGGAGAAAAGCCACGCATGCAAATTCCACACTGGTGCTAACCAGTCAACCACTGGGCCACCCAAGTCATGACCAAAAACACTTAATGAAAGCACGTTATTTTTTTTATTTTAAAAAAATATATTTTTTTCTTGTGAGTTTAAAATAACAAGCGTGCAGTCCACCTGCTCTGGAACGGGTATCAGCAGCTCCTGAGTTCCATTAACGCACAATCTAGCGCCGTAGAGAGAAAAAAAAAATTGAGAATGTGACTATTGTAAAGAGACAGCAACAACGTCTAAGTGATTTCATTGCTAGAAGTCACAGTTCATGGTACTGAGGCGTGCGTCAAGTGCATGCGCGTAATGCAGCTTTTGATGCGTTCCATCCGCGATGCGCGCGTCTGTTTCGCCACTTCTTGGTTAGGACACGCGGGGGTGTGGCGACGCGCTCCGTCCCGGTAAGGGGAGGAGAGAACGGGCGGCAGAGGCGGTACTTTCCCCGCGGTTGGTTTCGCGGTATCGGAGAGTGTGCGGGACCAGGGCTGGAAACACCTGCCCGGGGAAGCATCAAGCCAAGAAAGCAGTCCAGTCCAGCACGGAGCCTCGCCCGCCTGGCAGACCTGCTGAGCCGTGCGCTCTTCTTTCGGAGGGGAGCTGCACCACATTCCTGTGAACTATAACTGCTTTGAATGGCATGTGGCTTGTAACTTTACTTCTGCTGTATTCTTTGCAAGAAGGTAGGCCATGGAAATGGATTGTGTCTCTGCACGCTGCATCATTTCTATGCATGCCGAAGTTGTCCGAGCCCGTTGAAAATGTGATCACTTTGATAATTGGTGCTAATTTTCTTCCATCGGACAGAACACGACAAAACACAAACTATTTGGGGGATAGACTGCCAACTTTCTTGATGTTTTGTGACATGGGTGCTCGGGCGCCTCTTGCAGCCTTTCGGGTGACATTGATTTTTTTTCTGGAGGATATGAAGACAAGATGGTGAGGGAAGCGAGTTTAGACCGCAAAAATCAATATGCACTTCGTTTGCAGGAGTGCGTAAAGTGACCAAGTGGCGCCCATCAAAAAGCGCATCTTGTTCATTTGGATGGCAAAAGACAATGAAGATTTGCATTTTTTTTTTTTTTTTTTGCCTGGTGAAGAGGGTAACGTGAATATGGAGGCTGCGAATAAGTAGGGGGAGGCTGATAAGGATCGCCCGGAGGGCGCACGGTTTGATTGTCCAACCGTGCTCCACTCTGCGATCAGATTTTGGGTGTTTACGCATGAGAGCTCAAATGATTTAATGTCCCCCCCCCCCCCCAACTTCTTTTAAAATAAATCTTATCTTTAGGGAGAAGAGTGGGAGAATAGGTCGGGGTGCTGCTTGAGAAATTCTTTTCGACATTAAAACGTCATTTGAACACTTCTTTTCAATGCAAGAAAGTGCAAAATGATGCGTAAAAGCCGTGTTTGTGCTTGCGTCCTCGCAAGAACAACGTAGGAGGTCATTGCGTTTTGATGCGAGATGAGTGACTGATTCCAAAGGAGAAAGGAATCATTTTTGGAGATAATTTGCTCAGTGAGAGACTTTGAAGACGTTTTTTTGTTCACATTGTATTTATTTATTTTTTTTACGAACAAGCAAACATGAATATAGGAGTGAGTTTAATGCAGATGCAGTCTTTATCTGCCCTGCACTAATTATTCATCCTCCATTTTCTCTGGCTCCAGATTCCACTGATTGGCTTCGCTCTAAATGCCGCAGATGGGCGCTTCATGCTTCTTGCTCGTCTTTAAAATCAAAAATGTAATTTTCAAGTGAACGTGTAGGGCCCTGGAGGCGTATGAGCTCTTGAAAAAAAAAGGACTCACACGTTTAATCTTATACACTCAATTGTCTTTATGCACACCTCGCATTTGATTGCGCAAAATGTCAAATGACATATGAAAAAAAAATCTAATTCGTTGGTGCTGCCTAAAGAATAGCGTGTGTATAACGCGTGTTTTGAGGTTCAGGTCCTCATCCGTGGCCTTGGCAGTGCCCTCTACCACGCAGGCGTCACTGTTGTTTGTTTCTTTTCATTGGATTACAAGGTGTGTTTGGATCATACACATTGTACATCAACTCCGTCCCGTGAGATGTATATCGTGCGTGTACGTGTGTGTGTGTGTGTGTGTGTGTGTGTGTGTGTGTGTGTGGGTGTGTGTGTGTGTGTGTGTGTGCGCGCGCGCGCGCGTGCGTGCGAACCAAGGCTGGGGGCGTCAAACAGCCACTGGAGTGGAAAGACTGCCTGAGATGGGCGAGATGGAGATAACGCAGCGGGGAAACAAACTTCCATGTCCGTTTTTTTTTTCCCAACGCCATGTTCCACTCGTTTTGCACGATTCCACTTCCTCCATGATCACGGATGCATTCTTTGCACGTGTTGTTTTCTGTTTGATGAACTTAATCACGAGGAGCAAGGGTAGATCTATTAATTCATGCATCAGTACAGTACTGCGTATTTTCTTGCCGAGCCGCGCCTAGGGAATGACACACAATTTTCTGCTTGCCTCTTCATTGAAAATGTGCCTCTTTTTTAAACATTGTCTAAATTCAATATTTGTTTTGAACATAGCTACATCAATGCATGTGCAAGCATACGTTCATCTTTTTAGAATTATATTTAGGCACTTAAGGGGTGCATGCGTTTGGGCCTGGCAGGCCACACTGTAGAGCCTTAATTTTACATTCAAGTTGTTCATGTTAAAGTGCACTTACAATAAAAAAACACTCTGCCCAGTGTATTCTGTGGCAGCTTATAAAAACAACAATTTGGAATAAAACGGCCTCCTGTGATGAAGTGTGCTCGTGTAATGTGTGGAGGCTTATGCATGGGGGGGGGGGTAGCTGCACTTTGCCATAATTATTTCATCAATTGACACGATTCCGGTTCTCTCCAGTTTCACTCAATAGGCCTTGTGGAGTAATCTACGTTCTTTGTTTTTCAATGTATTGATCTTTTTATTGCATTTTGGAAGCTGTATTTTATTCTACATTTGTCTCACACAATTTGAGCTTGTTTATAGCACATCCATCTTGTTAAAAACATTTCTCATTCCCTCCTTAGATTCGCGCATGCGGGTCCAAAGTGGACCTGCCGTGTTTTCCGCGCATGCGTGTTCACATGCGGAATTTGAAAACACTTAGTTGCAGATGAGTCACAGTGGCGGCCTGCAAATGAGGCTCGACTGTATTTGACAATGGCCGCTTATAGTGACTTGCCATTGTAAGTAGTTTGTATCTTGGATTTCAACATAACAAAAACAAACTTCACTATTACTAGGAGATTGGAAATGAATTCATGCCATGACATGATACATTACACACGATGTCACACGAGAACGTGACATTACAAAGGTCCATTGTATCGCTCCTGCTTCTGCGGCTGCCGGCTTCACCTCAGGAGAGAGAGAGAGAGAGAGACAGAGGGAGAGACAGAGGGAGAGAGGGAGAGACAGAGGGAGAGCGGGAGAGAGAGAGAGAGAGAGAGAGAGATGTCACTCTCAGGTTAACTGGTCACGCAGTCATCTCTGCTTTCTTAGTCAAGTGTTGGCGCGCTGCATTTGGCAGTTGAATGGTGCTGAAAACGCACACACTTGTCCAGCTGACCCTGCCAAACCGTCTCATACTCAGTCTGAACATTTTGTTTGTCTTGAAACAAAATGGACACGCTGGCTAATGGGTCACTGAGATTCTGCATTCATTTTATTTCAGGCAACAAAATAAAATGGTAGTGGATTTATTTAATTAGCTTAATTTTGCACATGTAATAGGATTTATCAAACCCGATTCAAATTGTAGTGGCTGATTTTACATTTTTAAATAATCGTGGACGAAGGACAGGTGTCACTATGACTGCGTTACTGTGGTGCAGAGAACACAAAACGAGAATGATCTTGGAAAATGGATCTTTTCCACTCATGAAAACATTGTTAAAATGCCAGAAACAAAAATTATCGCAAGATCTCGGATTCTTATTTTCGCGGTGTAACTCAGCGGGTTATACCGGATGTTGGAGGGCTGCGCCGCTTTGGGAGTGGACACTGTCGCCTTCAAATTAATTTGAATGTCCTGTTTTTGAATAAAGGTTTTGAAAACTTTTATTTTTATTTTTTATCTGATTCATCAGTTAATCGGCAAAATAAAATGCATGCAGCCTTATTTCCGTTTGTGGCGGAACAAGAATCATCATCGTATTTTTTATGCGTCAAAACAGGCAGGTTTGAATTGCACTCATTTGCCATTACCTCTGGCTCAACAGAATCGGAATCAGGTCTAACGTCATGAATTTTTGTAAAATTCATGAAATTGAATGTATGTATTTGATGTGCTGCAGTAGAGTTTCAGTGCCTTGCTCAAGGCACGACAGCAGCGGGTCCTGAAGCAGGATCTTCCCGATGTCAGGCAGTGTTAACCACCTGGCCTGGGCGGCCTTGCTCGTATCTTCCCAAGTGTAACAGGTTGTATCCCCTCCACGAGAGATTGACACATCTTGACAAACATCTCACAATCATGCCACCTCTCCTGTTCCGCTCACCGTGAAAGCGATTTATGACCGCGTCCCAGACAGAGCTCTGGGGGAATAAAAACAAAACAAAAAAAAAAACGACCCCCCCTCCAAGGATATACACCTCTATAAATCCAACATTCATTTTAGCGGCAGGAATCATACCTTTGAAGTGGGAGTTGTGAAGTTTTTAAATATGGAACCGGCTGCCTAATGTTTTACTGACACTGCATAAAGTGTTTACAGGGCTTGTTTACCACCCCGTGTGTGTGTGTGTGTGTGTGTGTGTGTGTGTGTGTGTGTGTGTGTGTGTGTGTGTGTGTGTGTGTGTGCGCGCATCCATATTACATCTTGCCATGAAGGGAAATGGCACAAAGTGAGAAATAATTTCCAGCATTGCCACCCAACCCTAATACATAGCTATATCTGGAGCCATTGTGTTGTCACTGAGCACCTCAGCCCCACTTTTTAAGACACACACTTATTTATTTCTATTTTTTGTCCTTGTTTTCTTGTATAACTTAAATGCTTTTGCCGTCATTCCGCTTGGATGCAACTTTTGTACACTTTTATAACAAGCTTCACCATAGAGGAAACTGACTTTCTTGTACGTGTGCATTCTAAATGTACTTCTTCTACTTTTGTATATATGCATAAAGTCAATTAAGAGTGAGGAGGAGGGATTTATTGCTGTTTTTCAGTGCACGTGATCAATCTCACTGCGTGTGTGTGTGTGTGTGTGTGTGTGTGTGTGTGTGTGTGTGTGTGTGTGTGTGTGTGTGTGTGTGTGTGTGCGTGTGCTAGTGCGTGTGCGTGTGCGTGTATGAATGTAGATGAGACAGAAAAGGCTGCATTATGCATAACGGCCAAGCAAAGGCAATATCCTTGCTTCTCCAGCATACATATTCATCGTCCATTTTCACTGCAAAAACAGAAGCTGAAAAGTGCACATATGTTTGAGCTCACAGAATTGTACAAAGAAAAGAAAAAGAAGTCAAAAAGAAAAATGAAGGTTAAAAGAAAATATAGTGCTCAAGGCTCACCCAGCGGGTACTTCACATCCAAACAAGTCTGACCTTCTTGATTGTAATCACAGGATCCGTGCTTGACGAAAACAATTAAAATACAGTTCACGAATGCGCTTGAGGCCGAGCGGCATTGAAGCAGGAATGTGTCACTAACCGGGTTGC